GCCCGTGCGGATGCGGGGGCGGATGCGCGCCGAAGAACTCGTGATGGAAGGCCACCGGGCCGCCGTAGCCAAACTCGAACTTGTCCGGGCCGAAGTACGGGAAGCCGGGCGGCGGGCCGTCCTCGCCGCCGAGGGCACCCGGGTTCAGGTTGAGCGGGAACCCGCGCATCTTGCGCGAGCCCCCGAAGAAGGGGTTCCTGCCCATCGACGTCAGCTGCTTCAGCCTGCGCTCCTTGCTCCTCTTGTTCTGGAACCAGACCTGAAACGGGCAGACCGGCCGTCTTTAATCGCTGAATTATTTAACGACGGGTCTCTCCCTCTTCACCTCCGCTGACCCCTTCCATTTTGCGCACAGTCATCTTACAATTGTAAATCGCTCTAAGAATAGATATTAATGTGAATAATAATGAATAATAATATGTTAATATGATAGATTTTTGAAAATTGTAAAAAATATCGCGCTTATTCGTCAGTTTCCCTGTTCTTATATTTCGCCACTGCTATATTGAACTGTAAAGGTATAATGTTCTGAAAGAATGTGGGTCTTGGAACACGCGATATACCCTTAGCCCATTCTATTGTGTTCTTTTGCATTCTGTTGGACATGAGAAAACCGTGGTAAACAATTTTTTATCGGTGATACATCGCGAATAAACCGGCGCGACGGTGCTGTCGCGAAATAATTTCTCGGTAAATAATATGACGTCGAGCCGAGTGAATAATTCTCCGGCAAATGGTTTGTCGACGCGGTTTTTTCCTACTTGTTCGCGATGGCGGAGGACTTCTGAACGTTGCTTGCGTCGCGTCGCTTTTGCGATTTAGATGCCAGCTGCATAAAACCGTCGCCGATAGTGCAAATCGCGATTCACTTCGATATTAATAGCGATTCTCTTCGTAAGTTAAAGAATTTAATGCCTGAGAAGCAAATGTCGTAACGAAAACTGAGAGAGGAAAAGTAAATTATTATTCTTATTACAAGATTATAATTATTATTTAATTATCAACTACCCATCTGATTAAAGATATTTTTCCTCTGAGTATAACAAAACCGTTCTCTTCGTTTAAAGGTTTCAACAGAACGCTAATTTTTATTCCAAATTTTTATTTCGGGTTTAATTATCAAGATGTTTAGTTAAATGATAGCGTGATCAGTTTTATGAAAAGTTTTATGAAGAAACTTTTCGCTGGAAAAAAAATAAGTAGATATATGTAGTATAATAGACAGACGAGAGAAATTTCAAAGTGCAAATGTTGCGAGAGAAAGAGAGAGAGAGTGAGTGAGAGCCTTTTCCCACCTGTATGACTCTCATGGGCAGGCCGGTCTCCTTCGCCAACTGCTCCCTGATGTGCCTGGTGGGCTTCGGGGTCGACGAGAAGGCCGTCTTGAGGATCTCCAATTGTTTCGCCTTTATAGTGGTCCGCGGGCCGCGTCGTTTCGAGCCGGCGCTGCCGTCGCCGCTGCCACCGCCGGCACCGCCATCCGGGCTCTTGTTCTCCGTTTGGCTGTCCCTCGTCTCGGGATCGCCGTCCAGGGAACCTTCAACCGATCGAAGCCGAGCTATCGCGTCACAATCCTACGACGATCAAATGGCCTATCTCTCGCGAGAGGCTCGATCGACTGCCAGCGAAATCGGTCGCCGTGAGAAGTTCCGTGTCTTCTCGCGACAGCGAGTTTCACGTCTGTCTGCTTTAAATACAATGACAGGGAACCTAATTCTCGAACAGATGGAGACACGACTTTTCGGGGTTCTATTTCACGAATTTCCTGAGTTGCCGGCGCGGCGGCCGGAATTAATAAGCACGCAAACGACGATTTGTTCTCTTCTAAATTATAATTATATAGCTGCGTGATATAAATAGAACAATAAAATTAATTTATTCTGAAAAACGGTAAAGTAAAAGTAAATCGCTCGATAATTGCTAGATCTAAATTTCATCTAGACCGAAATAATGGTTTCGTAATAACTCCGTATCCTCGAGCCCTCAATTTTCAGAGACGAGGCTGTCACTCGCACACGATTTATAGAGACAAGCTGTAAAGGTATCAGCGTCTGGGGGAAAAAAAAGGCTGACACAATATTTTCAGCGTTACGCCGGCGCGCGCGTTTGTTATTACCCAGTCGTCGATGTGGTCGAGGGGATAGTCGGTTTCTTAATCCCGAACTATGCGTATCCGCTGACGCGTGACTCGTCGGTAACCCAGAAATGACTTGTCATCCTCAGACACGAGTCATCATTGCGTTACGGGAGTTTCTAAGCGACGCCCGTCGAGTTGCGATCTCTCGTACCGCAACATTCCAGTTAAATTTAAAAGAAAACACATTGTCGAGCGAGATGATCGGGAATCTATCGTATGTATTAGGTACGCGTACTTATCGGGTGTCTCCATGCGAATATTGAAGATGACGGCTGTCAATGTCGAGATAGTTTTCGACGTTAAAAGATCTTAACAAAGTTCAACATGCCATGCAATTGTTGCTAAATTCTTTTTTGTAATTTTTATTTTACACAAAACTATCAAGGGGATCAAAATGACTGGTTTGAAATTTTTTTAAATATAATTTATTATTTTTAAAACATCACAATTTCTGAAATTTTCTCTGACTTTTGTTGAAATCTACAAATAATTAGTTTTATAAATTTGTTTTCTCTTTTTTTTTTCATTTTGATCCCTTCGGTAAAAATAGATATAGGTTACTCTGCGGTGCAATTCTAGTGTTAATTTTTATCAAATTTAAATTAAAAATATATAATCAAAATCGATGGAAGCCGAATGGGCATTTCAAGGATTTCAGCGCGTACGATGGCTTCCCGACAAACGCGCGCGCGGAGGGATAATCGTCCGTAGATTCGTCGAGGTAATCGCGGCTGAGAGGCCACGCGGTAGGTCTGGGACACCCCGTGTATCCCGGTATCTTCATCGGCCGGATCGAGGTAACAACAATCGGAGCCAATCCCCCGGAAGCGATGCGAAACCCCCATCGGATTATCGTGGCTGCTGCCGCGCGCGCATGCTGAAAGCCGTACCCCGCATATAACGCACGCATCGCGTACGCAGTGTCACCATACGCACGCACACACATAAACGCGCGAATATAAGTCCCCGGCTCTCCACGGTAATCTATACACTATACGTATATATGTATACCGGGTAGGTCTTAACCGCGGGACAAAGAAAATGTTTGGACAGTGTCGCACCGCACAACGGGGGCCACCCCTCGTGAAGACGTCCGCTCCCTCTTTCTCGATCGGGAGCGGGGAGGAGGGGGGCAACGACGCGCTTGTGTTGCGTGCTTGTACCGGGCCCGTGCGAGGGTGAGAGACTAGGTGGTGTACGGCTAAAGGACCGATTGTTGTGCGCGTGATAAAAGAGCAGGAACGGTATAATGGCTCGAGACCGGCTTCTGACGACGCCCCCGGCGATTGGTGACGTCGCGACGCCGCGAATTCGTGCTCGCGTGGGATCTCCAAGGGTGACGTAGTGGCGCCGTGGAGGGAAGCCCGATCGAGCCGCCAATCGATTGCTCTTGATCGAGTTTCGCGTATACTGCGTGGGGTAATTTACGGCGTGCGAATGTGGTCCGGGTTCGTTTGCAGTTCACCGATATGCGAATGTGTGTGTGTGTGTACGTGATACATACGGAATGTCTAATCACGGTAATCGAGATGACAGCTTAGATATTTCACACGTGCACTCTGCCCTTTACGCTTGGCTACGCGATATTGACTTTCGTTTACGATCCTTCGCTACTTTTCTTTCTCGCGAGATTTATCTTTCGTCTTTGACGTAATAAAGACGTTCTCTTATTCCGTCGAGAGGCAGTTTGCGCTGCGTAAAACTGTCTATCTATCTCGTAAAAATATGTATCTCCACTCGGTAATATTTATATCGCTTACACGTATCGCTTATAAATGCGATTAAAGAGATTAAAGAGAACTTTCCAAGACTATTTGCGGAGAAATATTTATAGCGCCTATCAAGCAATTAAAAGAATCTATTATTTTTCAAACACTACAATTTTATTTTACTTTTATTAAAGTAATAGAATCTTTTTCAATAGATTTCTGACTCGCGGGAATAATCGATTTAACGTGATACAAGAAAAAGACTGATTCTTTATATACACATTATACACGCGCACTATTCAACCGCAGCAAAAGATAATTCTCATGAATAATACTTTTTCCAACGGAAAATTGCGCGAGAGAGAACTTCTTTGTCTAATCCAACGTATCGCCTGCCGCGCCATTACTTTGTTATCTCATCTTTAGCAAGTGAGCTGGAGTACTCACCTTGATCCTCGGAGTCCTCCTGCTTGCAGGGATCGCCACCGAGAGGTAGTTCGCCACCGTGGCCGACGGCCTGGTCGCCGGGACCACCCGGGCCAATGTTGTGGGTCCCGAGGTGAGCGCCGCGTACGGCCGAATCGTGATGGTGATGGTGGGCACTACCGTCCTCGTCCTCGTCTTCCGATCCCGAGCCCATCAGCGAGTCTCCGCCTGCCGACAGGTTGGACGGTTCTGCTCGTGAACGGACGCGAGACACCGGCCTTTTTAATAACATCGACCAACGAACCGCCGATTTCGAAAAATAACGATTCGCGACTCGCTCACTTGCACAGAAGCGAAACGCGAAGTGCCTTAAGCGCCGTCAACGAGGTACTTCGAATCTTTGAAGTTGTATGTACGTTGTACGGTTATAAACAAATGAGAAGCTAACTTGCCAGAATGGCCAAAAAAAGTTATTTCCAATTTTATTTGCTAATTGGAAATGTATTTTTTTTTTTTTAATACCGCTTCTGTGCAATTGCGAGATAGTTCGAAATCAGCGATTGAATTTTTAGCGAATATGTAGAAATAAATTACAAGTTATCGTGGTATGGATATTATTGATGTTCAAAGTAGCATGATTTAAGTAAGTTTTTAATTGATTTGAAACTGTCGCTTGAAAGAAAAGTGATTACGCTTTTCGATGGCAAGGAATCTGTCAAAAAAGAATCGATTATTCATGGTTGATATCATGGTCGACATTGATATTTACGTGTAGCACAATTAAATATGAACTACTTGCACGTATTGACGCAATTGTTTTGTAATTTATCAAGAGAAATAGTTGCATTGTCGCAATAAATGACGCAGCGTTCGAAAACTTTAGGAAATACATTCGAACAATCACGTTCTTTTTTTTCGGTATAACTTAATCGGTGCAGCTATATCTCGATTGTAAAGTATCGTGGCTGCGAGGGACAAGTAGCGACTTTTAAAAGTCGGCTTTTGCCTTCTAGATTTAATGGCGGCGTTGCGCACGAAATACTCCAGACGCAATATATTTTACGGCGGGAACCGCCGAAAAAATGGTGTCTCCGGATATTAATCGTCTCCTACGAGCATAATTACCGTGCTCTCGTCTTGCGCCGTGCCGAGGGAGAGAGAGAGGGAGAGAGAGAGAGAGAGAGAACGATGGCCGCGCGGATTCGACAACCGGCAAATGGCCGAGCCGGATGGCAGAGATTAATGTTGAAAAAGTGTCGGGCATCAAGACGGTCGTGTCGCTTAATCATCGGCCCGAAATCATCCTGAAGGCTCGCGTCAACATTCTGCCCCCAGTTGCGCGTCGAATTCGGTTCTCCACGCGATGAAGATTTCGTGCTCCATACCTGCCTCTATTGTTCCCGCCAGTTATATCGATAATCAGTAGTCGAGGACGATGATAAAAAAATAATCGACGGCGTGCAAGTTATTTTATAATAACCTAGTGCATACAACTTGACTAAATACAGATCTAGTTAATGAGCTCGCATAAATCATGCTAAGAGAACGCTTCCTTATTTTACTTTTATTTTTCAGCAACATTTTTATTTTATTATTTGTATAAATAAGAAATTCTCTTTGTTACTTTACTCCCTACCGTCTCGCTTTTTACTCTCTATTTTCGTTTCTATTTAATAGCTAATCCTTTTCCGCGAAATTTCTGTTTGTAGAGCCTCGGAACCGCCTCCGAAAAATCATAGAATCCTTCCGCGAAGGCAGCCTCTCGACGTTGACATTTGACGCGCGGCTTACAGATTCGTTCCTGCATCCGCAGGTATGCGCCTCAAGATCGCCTCGTGACGCCGACAACAACAACGTCGACGGCGATGACGACGACGCTTCACGCGAAACTCATCGACAGCGAGTCGGCGGCGGCGGGCCGAATCGGCCGCGGCCGAGGCGTAAATCATTTCGCGGCGCTCTCCCGCGCTCTCGGCGGCTGTCCCACGACATTGTCTCACGTACGGCGAGCACACAACGGGGCCCGTCGGGCTTCGGGGCCCCCGAGATCCCCGGGAGAAAAAGGCGGCCGGGCGAAGGAGAGAGAGAAGAAAACGGGTTGTCGGTGCGTTTTGCGGTTTCGGCAACGTCGGCAACGGGAACGACAAAAGGTTCGCCCCCTGCCTAACGACCTTTCGGTTTTCGTTTCACGGCTTATATACGAGTGGGGCCCTCGTGAAACCGAGCCGACCCGCGCGCCGTCTCTCTCTCTCTCTCTCTCTCGCGCTCGTCATCTCCATTTCTCTCTCTCTATCTCCCTTCTCGGCCGGTGGTTCACAGTGGCATACGCGCCACGCTGTTTTCACAGCTTGCCGCTTTCTCTCTTTCTCGGGGTAGAAACTCCCGTGAAAAACCTGCCGTCCCCGCCCCTCCCCCTCGTCCCGCCGACCCGCCGGTCCCTCCCTTTTTTTTTTAAGCTGATCCTGACTCCGTAAAATCCGTGGCGGCGTGCGCGTTGAACTGTGACCCCCTCGAGCCTCGCCTGCTCGAAAAAATAAATCTCGAAATTCTCGAGCCACTCGAGAAATGGGTCCCGTCGGTCTTTGTAGGAATTCTCCAATTTGAAAGGATATCCTCGTATACGATATTAACACCGCGTGTAACACAATGTGGATATTTTTGATAATTCTCTCTTGAGACACTTCATATTTCGTTTTAGGAAAGCATCCAAATAGTTTTTGCCACACGCGCGGGATATCTCTTCCGCTTCAATCGGCACCGAAGCGTCTTTCCTCATTGGCGGCTTTCCGGTTCTTCGATAATTCTGGCAGAACATATCGAGATCGGGACGACGCCGACGGGCATCTCGACTTCGAGATCGGCGAGCCGCGCGATAATTTACGACGGCCGCTCTTTCTCGCGAGCGGCGGATAAAATTATTTATCGGCGACGGGAACAGAAACGACGGAGGCGATCGTAAAACGCGCGAGATCGGACGGCGGACCCGACGGGAAGACAAGGGGAAAGGGGGGGGGTCGAGCGAGGAGGAGCGCTGTCGCGATAATACGCCCTACCCCTCTCCGGACAGCGGCGCCGCGCCGCGTTCCAGTGACAGCGGTGCCGGAGATCGATATAATGGAAGGCGATTGTGCGTTGACTTTGTTTGGGCACCGAGCCGAGCGTGTGCCAAACGCGATTTCGCGCGAATTTTCGAGCCCGCGATCGATCGCCGCGTGCCGCTGACAGCCACGTGCCACGTCGAAATCGCGGCGTAGCAGAGCTCGCGCGACATATTTAGGCCGTGCCGTTCAAGACCGAAACTTTAATACGCTTTTAATACATTGATGTTTCTAAACTATTCGCTCTTTCAACTCGATTATATTTTGTCGATGGAAAAAAAAGAGATTTCGTTTATGGCTGTTACTCCTCGACAGCTTCGAAGCTTCGAAAAGTGTAATTGCGACATATAAGCGACATAATTGCAACATTAGAAATTTTATTCGAATTTTGTCATATAATTTTATAAATGTGTTCCTATTACACGGTATACAATATATATACTATTACTATTATATTTTAATAATTGTATAATTTTGATTCTTCGAAGCTTCGAAGATTTTAACCCTATTTCCTCCAACCCGCCCTTTCGTGTCCCACGAGTTTCTAACACCCGTTTGTTGCGGAAAACAAATGATCGTGACAAACAATTTGTTTGTTCGTGAGTTATGATTTTTTAAATAAAACGAGTCGCAACGTGTGTTTGTCAACATATAATTGTTGTAAAAAAATATTTAAATAAATGATTTCCAAATGTTATTTACATTGATTTTTAGTCGAAGGTACAAAGCTATTATAATAATTTTTGGAGAATTTTTCAAAGCTATTAACATTTTGAAAAACACGTCTGACTTGAAAGTGCATGGTTGGAGGATTAAAGGGGCGGAAAAAACGTTGAAGGAAGAGTTTCTTCGAATATCGAGGCCTTCGAAGCAAATCACCAACCCTAATTCTGTCTTAGACAGATAACTTTGACATCTCGGAATAATCATAACGTCAACTAATTCTTTTTACGATTTATAATACCATATTTTATAATATCAAGTAACTTTTCGGCAGCATTATGGTTTGTCAAAAAGCATCGGTATGAACAAATATTCATACTCGATATATATCTATATCAATAAATATCCATACCCGATAATATCCATATTATTGTATATAACTATATACGTTCAACTTAATAAATAAAATAAATAATATAACTGTCGAACTTTATAAAAGCTGGATATTCCTAAAATATCGCAATCATATTATCGATCAGCAGCAATTAGAAATAGCGTGAGATTAATCTCGATATCGATTGGCAGGATAAGTACAGACAAACACGGAGACCACGTGGATTCTCGGGATATCGCTTAAATTTAAATCCCGCGACGAATCGATCTCCGTATAAACGAAGAGGACAGTGTACACAGACGAACTGTGATACTCCGAAGTGCCTGCTTATTTTCGTAGACTAACTTTACTTTCTCGATTTTGTTTGCCGTTTCAATCGTATAGAATTATTTATTAACTCCGCTGTCGGTATAATGGCAGAACCTAATTATTTGACGTCGCTATGCAATTTAATCTCGCGCGCGAGTTAGGCGCGAATTCATTATGCAATCTTAACTTCGTTTCATTGCCTTTTCGGCGCAGGATTTACGTGTAAATAAAGTACGATAATATGACCGCGTCGAGATAACATTGTTACGCGAGGTGGCTAAATGATGGAAGGGGGGGGGCAAGTTTTGGCGGCTCACCGTGATGACCGTGCACATGATGCGTGTCCGGCAGCGGTTTGCCCGACAGGTAGTCCTGCTTGCAGACAAACTTGTTGTCGTCCAGGACGTAGAGCTCTTCGCCGGTGCTCATCTGCTTCCGACACACTAGGCAGGTGAAGCAATTCAGGTGGAAAACCTTGTCCCTCGCTTTCCTCACAAGGTCCTGCGGGTTTATCCCTTGGAGGCAGCCGCCGCACTTGGTTCCGTATCGCCTACAAGCACATAATACAGATTTATCGCTGGTGAGCCGATGAAAGGACGGATAATGAGCGCGTGGGTGTCCCCCGAAGGAGCTTGTTCTTCCACCGTGAGGAAATACAAGTTTCCGTTGTAAAAAAAAAAGTTTACCTTAATTCTCTTTAACTTCAAATATAAAAATCGATATTGATCGATTGTCGCGAGTGTTGCGAACCGAGACTGGCGACGCGTGTGTTAATAAAAATATAAAATTGCGCGCCAGAGGTTAACCGTGAGACCGAAACGTCGCTTGTCCGGTGTCAGCTGCGAGTTCACGTCACGGCGGAGTTTCCGCGGGGGAGGGAAATTTCCGTATTTCTAAAAACTCCAGCTAGACTATAATCCTATTTAATTTTCCAATTTTTCTCCCAAACTTATCCAAGTTCGACATGCTTCGGCGAGATTGTTAAGGAGAAGGTTGGTATTAAGCGTAAAAGGTACCGAAGGAAGTTAATCATAAGTGTACCTCCGATTCCGCAATTTTTTCGCACTTGCCTTCTTTTTCGCGAAGGCATGCCCGATCCCGCGACGTTGTAATTTCGTCGTGTGGCGCGTTAACGCGAAACCCCTAATCATTAAACCCGCGCAAGTATCGCCACGCAACGTGTTATTATCACACGTACGACGCGCGGCTCTCGATGATTTTTCCATCGAGGGTGCCATGGATCATATTTCTCAGCTCGATAACAGGCCTTTCACGGAAAATAGCGAGAGGCGCAAGATTTTTTTTTAATCCGCAATTTACACCGCGAAACTCTCCGAAGCGTTGTTACACCCCGAAATTATTTCGACGTCGCGTCGTCCGCGGGATGGGTTGGCGCACGCCTCGTTCGATAAATGCCCGCGCGACTGCTCGGAGTTGACCGTATAGAACGGTCTGTATTCATAGAATGTGAAAGTTACAAGTTCTGTTTGTAACTCAGTCGGACCGCAAATGTCGATGAAAGAAATACAGCGCTTTTAAAGAGATGGCGGTTTAATGTTCCGATCCAGGCATAAAGAGCCGAGGCCCTACCGTGTCGTAAAAACGCACCGCCGCGCCGGTCCGCCCGATATTTTTTTTCTTCCTCGCCGAATCGTTAAGCGCCTTGCTTTTTTCAGACGCCTTACTGATCTCTCGTTAAACGTTCTTCCACTTCGTCGTTGCGTCATCGAAAACTTAAATCATCCGAGTGTTACCACCGACTGTTGTGCAAAGGAGTCTCTCGAGAGTCGCAAAATTGTGTTATAAATTGAAAAAATCATATATTGTAAAATACAAAATTAATAAACAAAATTGAATGCACTAATCAAAAAATCGTAGAAATAAATTTGAAAATTATATAAAATAGAATATTAGACCGTTTTTGTACGTGTATGTGTTGTCAAAATAAAATTCTAAATTAAATTAAATTTAGTGAAATTACATAAATTATTTACAATTATATAGTTATTAAAAATATAACTGTATATAAAATATCAAAATTATAAGATTAAATTAAAGGATAGAATTATATGAAGGGACAGAAAGAATAGGCAAATTTCCCAACTTTTCCGGTCGACACGTTTCTAAATCGAACCGGAACAATCGTCAAGTCAATATAGGTATATATCTGCGACTGTATCATTACGGTGGCAGAAGCTACATTCTTCTAACTGGCAATCCGGATCGATCTAACTATAGCAATCACGCAATTAATTATAGCAATTAGCCGGGGCCCTTAGGGCTGGTGTGTTCCGAGGAGCGGACGTCTCAATCGATCCTCCTCCCCATCGTCGTTATGCCAACAATAAACAAGTTAAACGCGGATGGCAGATCGCCGGAGAGATCACGGAATCGGTCGCTTATTAGCAATTTCGGTAGGGCGATACTTATCGACCTGCAGCTTTCGAGCTACTTTGTAATCTACGCCATTAACAGCATCAATCAAAGGAGCTGAGATTGAAAATCACAAGAGTTAAGTATTATCTCGCACAAATATAAGAATCTTAAAATCCTCCTCTAAATCCTCTTATACTTACTTCTTATTATTACCACAATTTTTTTTCTTTGATATAATTATATTTTATTTTATTATATATAATATTGTTATATGTATGTTATGTTTCCTTTTAACCGTAAAAAATAAATTTTTTTTTAATTATCATTTGTGATTCTGATTTTAAATCCATAATCTTTTGTAAATTTAATTTTACTATGTTGCACAAAATGGCCACTGACATTTCAACGCCAGCAGTTTCTCACAATCGCTAGTGTGCAAACGTTTAAAATGTATAATGCATCTGGAAAAAAAGGAACAAGGAAACAAATGCAAAATCACGCGTGCCGATATTAATTGCAATTTTTTTTTTAAACTCGGATTCTCATTCAGCGGCGTTATTATCGCGCAATCGACCATAAAAAGTACGCGCTACGCGTAAAGCACGTATAGTAGAAATAGGAGGCGCAACACCACGCCGCGCCGGGGAGCCATGACCCGGACGCCGCTTGAGAGTCATTGTTAGCCTAATTGTTCTCGGTGTACCTGACGGTCACGGCGCGTTCGCGCCTAGGCGCGGTGTGCATCGACGTTTTGAGCGTTTGAGCGCACAATAAATCCCGCGGAATCTCCCTTTATTGACTGCTGCCGGTGTGCCGTATCAAGTGACCCAATTCGCCGCGCTTTATTACCAAGTGGACGCGACGCGTGACGTCCGACGGGAATGCAAGTGCGGGGCGTCTCGCGACGTGCCGCCGCCGCCGCCGTCATCGTCGAGGGAAAGAGAGAAAAAGAGAGAAAAAAATAGAAGAGAAACCGCTCGTCGCGCGCGACGACGTTACATCGGTTACATTTACGCTCCGTATTTACCTACGATCGCGACGCCGTTAATCGATATTAACGAATTCACGAACCGCGTGAATTGTTGATGCTCCGTAAACCGTTCCACTAATTACTAACCGTTCGACGCATCTCTAATCCTGTGAAATGTCACATTTTCAAACTCAACTCCGAAAATCGCAATACACGTGTGATTTATATTAATAGCAAGACTTTCATCTCGCGTGGGGGAGAAAAGGAAGTCAAAAGTAAGTCAACGGAGGGAGAATAAAAATTTGTGTAACTCGTCGATAGGAAAATCGTGTGTGACATATTGACTGTTAAAGCGCATCGGATGACTAATTTGCCTTTAACGAAAAATTTTAGTTTAGAAGCGGGATTGAATGCGCTATATAATAAACAATAAATTAAACTACGGCTGCTAAACAATTAATTAGAACGTTTCGCGAATGGCGAATTGTGACAGCTGAATAAACGCTAAATACGAGCGTGTCCTTCGTTCTTTTTCCCGCGTATTACGTTCACACGCATGTGATCCTTAATGAGTTTTCCCCGCGAATTCGTCGCGATGTTAATTATTGCGCCGCCGCGTCTCTCGCGTAATTTGACACCATCGCCATTTAACAGACGGATAGATCTCGAATACGGCGTGAAGCCATTGACGGATCGGCGATTATTCATCGCGCTCGTCGCGCACAGTCCCAAGAACTTGACGCAACGCGCAGCTTCTTTCTCTATAATCCGCCTCGCATACTAGTGAGCGTTCCTGCGAGGTTTCCCACCGCACGCAGCCTTTAACCGCCTCTGAAATATTTTACGTCTCGCGGTTGACGTGCATCTCGCGAAAAGGAAGAATGAGAATAAAAAAGGAAAAGAGAGAGAGAGAGAGAGAGAGAGAGAGAGAGAGAGAAAGTCGCGCGCGGAAAACGCGCCGTGTATCTCAAAGAGATACGGCTCTCTCTTTCTCTTGTCTAGGTGGAGCCCGGTTGCTCGCGCACGGCCGGTGAATATCAAAGGTTGCTTGCACGTGTCCGCAACACAACATTGTGTTCGCGTATTGCGCCGGGACTTGCCTATACGTCGGGGCTTCGTCGTCCATCGTGCGCTCGGGCACTCGCAACTCTCTCCACTCGTGGGCAAGATGGATATCTCTCGTAAAAGTACGCATTCGAACGCTGATCGAGATTACCTCTCATAAAGACGCACGTATACAGATGTAATGAGTAAATGTGAGACGAGGAAAGCGTCGCTTTGATTATAGCGCCTTAAGCTTCCTTTAATTTGTACCCCATAGAGTGTATCAATCACGAACAAAAGAAAGAAATCGAAGGGAGAAAAGAGAAAAGTGCTTCCCCTCTTTCTCTTTCTTTTATGAAGCGAGAAAAGAATTATTCTTTTAAAATTGCGACAGCCCGTGAACAATAACAAATGCAAAACAAATCGCTGTACGGCGTTATCGGCGCAGGAGCGACGCGATTTTACGACGCAAAGGTCTTACGACCCACATCCACCTCCGCAGAAAATAGCGGTACGCAAAAAGTCGCTAATTATCATCATCGTTGCATAATACTTTTCGCGCTCGAACGAAGTTTCGAACCAGTCCTCGCGATCCCGAGTGAACAACCGGCGCCATTCATCAATAAGTGCCACCGTTCAATTAGAAATGTTTAGTACTTTTGGCATCGACATTCTGAATTCCGACTTTGACAATTATAGGAAATGTGAGACAATACTACTACTGAAGGTTCGAATGTTCAGTGTTGGTCTGCAACATTGACACTGAATGTAACCGAAATTCAACTTGAACAAAACTTTGAAGGATAAAACTCGGTTTTAAAGTTACTTTTGTCATCTAAAAACGTAGAGTTTCTACTTAAAAAAAATTATCTCAAACTAGAAGAATCATGCGTTTAAGGACGTTCTCTCGTCCTTATACTAGAGAAAATCGATTTTTTTTAAATTTTCTTGAAACTGTGAATATACGTTAATTTAGGTGTGCTTTATGCGTGCGGTATAAATTTCAGTACCTCTTCCGGTATAAAAAATAAAGATACTGAGCCTCAAAGTTTCAACTTTTACTAATGAAAAGGTTTTCCAGGCCAAACGGTAAGAGATACGAGGTTGGCCAAGAGGACCAAAGTTGCTCCTCTCGTCGAGTTCTATAAGGAAAAAATGCC